ATTATGCAAAGAACGGATGTACATTGCACACAGTGGTTACAGTCTGATGTCTCACGCTGCTGTGTTTTTCAAAATCTAAGTATTTAATAATGGCATATGAAAAGTAAAGCTGTGTGGCAGAAAAATAAACTATTTTACTACATTTACTAACTAGCTTTCAGCTTACTCATTAAAAAATCCCGGTCTCCTTACTCCTACAGTAGAGCGGTTTAGCAAAACTATTTACTGAAATGGCCTCATACGGACAAAAACATTCAGATTTCTACTAAACAATGATTATTTTGTTGCTTGTTTTCAGAATTTTGCAGCAGTAATGGGCCCGTTTATGCCAAGATTAATAACCAACAGTTGTAAATATATTTCAAACAACTGGAGGCTGAAGAGGAAACAGATCATATCAATGGATTTGTTTGTGAACCGGCTTGAATGCAACCATTGTGCACGGATTACAATTCAAGGCCATTTTTCTCTATTAGTTATGTTCTGGAAACTATAAATAATGTACTAATTTTAAAGGATTGCATGAATTGGCTCAGTCCACAGAATCTTTTACAAGTTCCCTCCAAACTAGCAAACAACGATCCTTTGAAGTTCATTCATATTTTTTCAGGATGATTTTCAACAAAATCTTCCTGCTACTAGAAGATGGAAAATGCACTTCTAGAATCCACAGACACTGCATAGAAAATAGATCAATATTCTGCAATAATCTTTGCTTGACATGGAATCTGTAACTATGATATATCATCTGACTGTCACAATACATCTACTATCCTCTTTCAGAAGCGCACTATGCACGTTCAAGATAACAGAGATGATTGGTCTGCTGTCATGTTAGACCACACGGGTATACCCAAAGAAATCACAGAAGTCTATAAGAAAATGATCAAACTCATTCCTAGTTTAGCTCAATATCCTTTTCATGGGAAAAGCTACGCCATCGAGATTCATTCATCCTGCTCCAGAACATGAAGTTTACTATCATACTAATTTAGTATCACATAATAATTCTAAGAATGAAATAGACAGCTAGAGATAATTATATGGGAGAAAAAAAATTCAGAAGAACAAGTGCACGTAAAGGGCACACTGGTCTGCCTTGGATCATATTTGCAAGCCCATCTTCCTTCTCTATTGCTTTTTATTCTTGACTTCAACTTTTCACGTATCTGAAAACTTTTTAAAATTTTCATATGAAATGCAGAGCTCTGACTCCCTGTGCAGGAGTGATTACTTGGGAAGAAAATTCAGTACAGTGAAACTGAATCACAGAATCAGAGAATGGCCTGGGTTGGAAGGGCTCCAAGGCTCATCAAGTTCCAACCACCCTGCCACAGGCTGGGCCACCAACCTCCAGATCTGGCACTAGAGCAGGCTGCTCAGGGCCCCATCCAACCTGGATGTTCCAGGAGCATCCACAACTTCTCACGGCAGTCTGTTCCAGCACCTCACCACTCTCTCTGTAAAGAACTTCTCCTTGATATGCAGCCTAAATCTTCCCTCCCTCAACTTAAAACCATTTCCCTTTGTCCTGTCGCTGTCTACCGTTGCAGAAGGTTGATTCCCCTCCTTTTTATAATCCCCTTTTAAATACTGGAAGGCTGCAATCTGGTCTCCTCACAGTCTTCTTTTCTCCAGGCTGAACAAACCCATCTCCCTCAGCCTGTATTCATAGGGGAGGTGCGCCAGCCAGATCATGGCTCTCCTCTGGACCCTCTCCAACAGCTTGTTGTATTATTCTTGTACTGGGGGCTCCAGACCTTAACACCCTTCTTCTGATGGAGCCCAGGATACCATTGGACTTCTGAGCTGCAAGAGCACACTGCTGGCTCATGTTAAGTTTTTCATCCACCAGGACCCCCAGGTCCTTCTCCACAAAGCTACTCTCAAGGAGTTCTTCTGTACATGTATCTGGGATTACTCCGACCCAAGAGCAAAACCTTGCATTTTTCTTTGTTGAACCTCATTAGAATCACACGGGTCTACCTTTCAAGTTTGTCCAGGTCCCTCTGGATGGCATCCTTTCTTTCTAACGTGTCAATGGCACCACTCAGATTAGATTGTATTCTCCCACTCAAAAGTCTCCATTTATAACTTATGCTATATTCAAGCCCAGTCTCTTTGAATTTGATATCTAAGATGTTGCCAGATTCTATCAGTATTTCCATTGTTTTCCCTTAAAACGTTGCATGCAGCTTATCCATACCTGCATCATATTTCAGGAGAGGACTACTTTAGTATTTCTTTGTCTACCCACTGGACATATTGGTTCTTAAACCTTCAATTCCTGTAACTGAATGCACAGGTTGCAGCCTTGTCTGAAAGCATATTTTTACTTCCTATAGAAACTGAACTGTATTTTTCCATTTCCTTAGCTCACCAGAATGCTAAAATGATGCAGTATGGATAGCTAGGAAGTTTATATATGTGCACAGAAACTTAAAAGCTCAGATGTAGGTCAATAAAGAAAAAAATAGGTGTACCTAATTTGTAAGCAAATTTTGTATCCGTAGGTGCAGAAATATACCACTTACAAAGAAATAATTACATCGGTCTACCTCAGATCTTAAGAACATAAACAGTATTTTTAAATACAGTTTCTTACGTTGGACTTCTGAAAATTACTATAAAATAATGAATTAACAGTGTTTTCCCATATTACTTTTATATAAACAAAAGTCAGTAAACTGACATGCCAATGAGATCCTGAAACAAGGCAATACTTGCATAACATGGGAATTTTTCTCATAAAAATAATCAGTCTTATGTACATATTTCAATACCTCCCAAATCAAATAAAACCATTCTGATTCTAGAAGTACAAGCAGCCACTCATATTGCCAATACCCAGAGAACTTAAATGTAATGTTTTTTAAAAAATCAATTCATTTGCATGAAGAAGTTTAATGATATTGTCACTGATGCCAATATCTGATTTTAGGTCACAATTGCAGCCCATTTGCACTACACAGTTAAATCAGGAACTCCCCAGTTTAAAGTATGACCTCTAAAAGTTGACTAACCTTTCAGTATTGAAGCTGGAATGAGACAATTCAAAACTCCCATGAATTTGAGCTGAAGTTAGTTGTTGGTTTTAAACAGCTGGAGGGGAGGGAAAGGATACATATCTGAAAGAAGTACATTGAGAGCAGCAGGATTCCCTTTTGAGAGAAATAGAGAGCAGTTAGTAAAAGGAAGCAGAATAAATCGTATGAAAAGAACTATGTTTGTAAAACAAAAGAGGAATGAAAACAGAAAAAAATGAGTCAATATAATAAGTCTTTATAGAGAGCAGAACAGAAAAGGCAAAAGGAAGGAAATTAGCAGAACTGGTAGTGCTTCAAAACTTCACACAGTCTTACTTATAAAACTGTAATTATTAGAATCGTGTTGAAGTGTAAATCACTGTGGGTATGCTGTTACAGAATAAACTGACATGAAGGCTTTGGTAGTCTCATATAAAGCTGGGAGGCAGAGTCATTCAAACTCATAACAGCTCCAATGTTCTGACCAGAGCTGTGTTGCACAGGGCTATGATCTGAAATTTCAGAGAAACTCCCCTTACCTGTAACTGAACTGGACCCAGCTGTAGTTCAAAACACAAAGGACAGCAGGCAGTGGTACTTTTGTCAGCATTACAACTACAGATCGCTCACTGAATGAACCCACAAACATTAACGTCATTTTGAATTTACACTCCAATATTGCTCAGCTTCTCAAGACAAGGCAGACATCAAGCACTGCTCCAAGGACAGTTCTGTTCCAATCAAGAATAGTTTCAGTCTGACATCTGATGGGAAGCTTTTATGAGAAATATTTATTTTCTAGAAATTAGATGCAATCAGTAGTTCTGGTGAAGGAGTTAACTTCCTGCTGAAGCACCCAAAATATCCAGCCATCAAATGCTAAGATAATCCAGAACTTTATATATATATATATATATATATATATGTATTGTACAGTCTTTGTATTGCACATGTCCTTCACACACCTTACTAGTTCTTGAAACAGAAGCCCTAGGACCAAGCTCTAACCAAATGGAGACAAAAGGCTCTCATACTCTTCTCTCCTATGATGGAAAAAAAAGGTTGGATTTGCAAAAATTTAGGAAAAGCATATGGTTGTTGAGAGCAGAGCAAAATGCCCACCAATCAGCCTGTCTGTGGAAAGGACACAGAGATACTGTGGAAGCTCCTGAACTCAGCAAGTTCCATTTGTGCTCAAAGAGAAATCATCCCATGCATTCAGTGTACTTCCTCAGACATTTCTAGGACAACTTCTAGAAATGCTCCCTCGCTATGGGTGTAAACGAGAAGTACAATGTGGAATATAAATATGTACAGCTTATGCAAACAGAAATTGTAATCACACACTCCAAAAAGATGCAGGCCATCTCATTATTATTGCCCCACAGAAACAAATGAATCATTACTGCAGAACTTCTTCAGAAGATAACAGGAGGACTTTGAGCCTGCCTCAGCACTGCATTTGGTTCAACATCTTATTTAATTTTCTTATAAAGCACTATCATCATCTAGTGGTATATTTTGCTTCCATGTAAACTGCATGTTATCAGGAACAAAGCACTTCATTTACTTAGCATTGAATATGGCAGAGATTTATTTCCTTGAAGTTGTGCCAAACTGTGGGGGGATACAAGGAGTGTAAAGAGAAGTAACATGAAATAACAACAAAACTGTTGAGGATTTCAAGAACAAACAACATGTAGACATTCCACAACATGAGAACTTCAATAATTTTATGTCCAAAAGTGATGACAGGCTAAATAAAAAATACAGCTTGAGGATGCTTCATACTATCACTCACACTATTCAGAAAGTATACAGGGTTGTGAACAAATATTTTGGGAAAAAAAAAAATCACAAAAAAATATTTTGAAACAAAAAGATTTTTCAAAGCTTTTTTCTTGTAATTAAAAAAGTACCACAATTGTGAGAGTCCACTATTTATTATGAACACACAACTGGATGTTGACTTACGTGGTAACTTTTCAGTCTAACAAAATCGACTTTCATGGAGATGAATCTTTCTGAATTTCTGCTGAGATTTTTGATGTGCTCCACAAGGTCAGCACAGAACTTGTAGCCACCTTTGAGAACACAGAGAACCACAATATCATTGTCTCCAATGTCTTGCATAATATCCTTAGCCAGTCGTTCTGTCCTGGGGCAAAAAAAAAAAAAAGAAAAAAAGATGAAATAATGTTAGGTGTGCGTTCCCTAAGTTTATGGTATGCTTTCTTATGGTTACAAGGAAATAGAATCATAAAAATATTGCATGGCCCACAGTCTGCTTCAGCACCTTGACTTGGTTTGAGTGGAATTGAACAACAGGCAGATATGCAGGCTGGATGCAAGATGCAAAGCATGTGAATCAAGCTGGATATGTTTAAATTTATTAATCTCCTAATTATATAAAACGAGTAGCACATCTCACTGTGTGCTGAATTCACAAGCACTTCAGAGACTTCAGAGTAATAGGTGAAACACTGCATTCAGTTTTGTCTTGGAGGAAACTTCAATATAAATTATTTCCGTAAAACGACATACCTGATTATTTTATTTGCTACCTGAGAACATTAAATCAAATGAAAGAGAGGGAGGAGAATTATTAAAAAATATTTCAAACTGACAGGCTTTGGAGAATGCTACAAGTACAGTTTTAATAAGAATATAAGCAAGGACTATAAAGACATATCACAGAATCACAGAATCACAAGGTTGGAAACGACCTGCAAGATCATCCAGTCCAACCACCCTCCCATTCCTATCAGTGCCACGAGCTACTAAACCATCTCTCGTAGCTCCTCATCCAGGTGCCTCTTGAACACTGCCAGGGACGGCGACTCCACCACCTTCCTGGGCAGCCATTCCAGTGCCTGACCACTCTCTGAGAGAAAAAGTTTCTCCTAATCTCCTTATCTCATCAATAAAAATTTTATGTAGAGTGCAGTGTAAGTGCCTTGTTCTTGGTCTCACACATGAGAATAATCAAGGTTATGTCCTGTTTAACCTGCAGTTGCAGGATCTTCTCTTCAGTTATTCTGCATTGCAAACACAATGTGGCAGATTGAAACCAAAAGACACAACATTTCTGCCACTAGTACAGAACAGAACTAGTACAGAATTTTTCAAGACGAAAACAATAAACTTGAATGTTCATCTCAAGTAGTTTTCATTTCTAAAGAACAAGGTAGAGAGTATTTTAGATCTAAAACAAATACCTGGTCACTGCTAGAGGTAAAACTCAGATCAACAGAAAACTGAAAATGCCATTTAATGTTCTGAGCAAGAACAACTCAGTGCATTGTTTTCTGTAGAAGCTTTTTTTCTGGAAAGTTTTTTGATAAGTCTCTGGATTAGATTAGTAGATTCAATAAGAATACATTTCTTGGCAATACGTAATTTATCAATAGATAAATCCCATAATTTATCCTGCATCTTTCATTATCATATTTTTTTCTCTACCTGCAATAGAAATGTGTTTGCCCCTATATATAGATATATACATTGAACTTGAGTGAAATCTACACTTATGCATGTACCAGCGAAGAACAGACACTAAACTGAAGCTAACAGACTAGTTATGAGCCAACATGACATATTTTCACATCTTTGTAATGCTCAAGAAAATTATGTAAAGCAATAATTCACATTTTTAGATTCAGAAAACAGATGTATTGTGAGATTATCTTGTTAGATCTTAAACATGTAATTCTTTTTATTGAAGTACAGACCAAGATTAGTAAAAGTTTTTCACTTATTTTTTCATAAAAAAAGTCTTTTGTCATCTCTTATCAAGTCTGAGAGTTATGGGGAAAACTTTTTATTCAGAAGAACCATTTTTCTGATGATATTTATTTATATTATTTCTTAGATTGTCTTAGGAAATGAAATTTCCAAAAATTCCAAAGACCTGTTAGTATTTTAAATGAGTATGAACTCCAGAGCAGACAAAAAGGTGCTCAGTAAAAAGATGCCAGTTTTTAAACCTACGTACAGAGAAACAAGAAAATTTTCTCAAGTGCTGAGCCTTCTTCCTACAAGAAAATTTTGCATGGTCACAATATATTCAATTCTGTTTTCTTGTCCATCAGAACAGAATGAGCCTTTTCTGGAAGAGTACAAAAATACAGTGGAATTCATTTTGTTGGAGTACAAAAACACCAAACACCACTGTTACTTCAGACAAATTTATAGTGAATCCCATGAGAAATAAAGTAGTAACATATTTATTTAAAAAGATGAATCAAGAGTCAGTTGGCCTTACACAAAAAAAGACAAAAAAGTCAACACAATGGTAGCTGAAAAGGTGATGAAAGAAAGCTTGTGTTTGAAACAAATATAGGAGTTATTACTCTTCCTTAAGATGAATGTTTACAACCTTCTTTCAAGGAGTACCAACAATTTTAATACTTGCAACTGGCTGTTTAAATGCGGAAGGTAGAAAGCTGCAGATTAAAAATATCCCATGAAATCCATTCAGACTGGTTGGACTAGATGATCTTATCAGTCTTTTCCAATCTAAACGATTCCATGATTCTATGCTCCCAATACTTTCTTAAAAATTACCATTTTTCATTTTGTAATTTTTGAAAAGATTTTTAACAGCATATCAAATTAACAACTGAGTATCAACACTGAGTTGGACTACCACAAATATCAAAGCAACTTAGCTGCATGCACTGAGAGCATACAGGAACTATTACTAGGAGGTATGATGGTTGATGAAGCCTAGGCAGGCTGGCTCTCTACACAGCTTAAATGACAGAAGTCAATGGTGCAGTCTGGAACAATCGGGTTAGTCTACATTAATGATTTCTATTAGGGAATTCTCAAAGTTGTACTCAATTAAAGATTTTTTTTTCTCTTTTTATGTAAAAAACATACTACAGGGTGCAAGAGAAACATTCAAGTATTACTATGTGCAGAACTTTGTATTTGTCCTTCCTGTGTCGGTTCATCCCTCCTGTACACTGTGACTTCAGCACCAGTGTCTCTATATGATCACATTCTCTTTTTTGTGGGAATCCTGTACCATTCAGTGTCCAAATCAGAAGCTAGGTGAAACAAATTACACAATGAGTTGCAAGAGACAGCAAGTCTATCATTTCTTAACTGTCAAGCAGTATTTTTACATCCCAAATTAAACAAATAAATGTATAATACAACATATTAGGACAAATGTTATATATACACTGCCTGCAGATAACACGGATAACAAAAAAGAATTCTAATACTGACCAAAGTATTTATTTAATAACAAAAAAAGCCACACATACCTGTCAACAATAATGCCATGCGGAATAAGCACGTATTCCAAATCTCCATAGTAGTGCTGTGGATAAGTGAACAAATCCAGACTGTATCCAGGCCAATCATCTGAAATCTGAGTATTAAATAATACTGTTAGGAATACCCAATGGTGTTTGGCAGTATATAACTGATATAAACTCATTCATTTAATACACTGGACTGAAATAATAGAATGACACACACTCTTCCATATATGCTGACACATAAAAAATAAGCTTCAAAATTATGTAATCAGAAATTATTATTTCATTTTTTCTACTCATTACTTTGCTTTTGTATACCTCAGAAATTAAGTGTTAGTGGGGTTTTTGTTTTGCTTTGTTTTTCCAAAGAACATGGGAAAATTCAATGAGTTACAGTTAGATATAGAGGGGAAATAATACTGAACTAGAGCAAGTCTAAGTTTCTTACTACTTTCAAACCGGAAATACAAATGTAAGATTTCCAGAAAGAAAGGACTCTGCAAAGGCAGATTCAGACAGTGGGCTTGGAAGGTATAAAATCATAAATTAAAAGCATGAATTCTGCTTTAGAGGTAGTGTAAAGCCACATATTCTATAGACAGAGCAGTACATATAGTAAATTATGTGCTTCATGGACTGTATTCATAAAAATCAGTGAAAGACTGTCTTGCCAAAAGCAAGGTTCCTAATTTAAGTAAGTCATCAAAGATAAACTTTTACCAAGAGTTCATGTGTCACCTCAATATCAGCTAGTCTGTAAACTCACACATTTACAGCAAAAAGTATTTTAAGATTTAATACACATTAGCTTCATAACTGTCAGAGTACAACAACTATGAGAATACAATGGTAGTAGAGATTATATAAGGCAAAAATCAGCCAGGCAAAGTTATCAGTAGATTCCTAAGAGAAACAAGATGCTACAACTCCTCACCAACAATTTTCACAATACAATTCTGCATGAAAAACAAGACCTGCAAGTTAAAAATCTTTCTTGGAATCATAATTAAATTTTGCTTCAGTATTGGTACATAGATTCCAGTCTGTACAGATATGTGTAGAGACTGGGAGAAGAACCCATAGAGAGCAGCTCAGAGGAGAAGGACTCGGGGATTCTGGTGGATGAAAAGCCAGATATGAGCCAGCAGTGTGGAAGGCCAACAGTATCCTGGGCGACATCAAAAGAGGGGTGGCCATTAGGGTGAGGGAGGTGACTGTCCCCCTCTACTCTGCTCTTCTGAGGCCCCATCAGTAGTACAGCAACCAGGTCAGGGACTCCAAGCACAAGAAAGATCTGAAACTGTTAGAGAGGTCCAGAGGAGGGCCATGAAGATGATCAGAGTGCTGAAGCGCCTCTCCTATGAAGAAAGACTGAGGGATTTAGGCTTGTTCAACTCGAAGAAGAGAAGGCTCAGGGAAACTGTACAGTGGCCATCCAGTACATAAAGGGAGCTTATAAGAAGGATGGAAACTGAAAATTTACATGGACAGGTAGTGATAGGACAAGAGGGATTGGTTTTAAACAAAAAGAGGGGGGATTTAGATTAGATATTAGGAAGATATTCTTCACTCAGAGGGCAGTGAGGCACTGGAACGCCCAGAATGCCCAGAGGAGCTGCGGATGCCCCATCCCTGAGGTGCTCAAGGCTGAGTTGGATGGAGCCCTGGACAGTAGGATCTGGTGGATGTCAATCTTGCCCACGGCAGGGAGTTGGAACTAGAAGGGGTTCAAGGTCCCTTCCAACCCAAGCCATTCTATGATTCAGAATAAAGTGATACCTAACAGGTTTACTTCACAGTCACATTCCTCGAGTAACTTATTGTCTTTCTCCTTGATCATGTGAACATTAGTTAGCAGGAAAAATGCTGAGAGACTTGCCTTTGAGAAATGCACCTCTGCATGGCATTTCTACTAAACATGACTTCTAAATGCCAGTCTCTGAAACTAACCTCTACTTACAATTTCATCCAGTAGAGCAACAAACCATGACACTAAGATACCTAGGCTAACATGGCATACTTGTTTCTGAGCTGTTCCTCCACATCTGTAATCTTGTTGAAGTTACCTGCAGTGCTGTGTAGTGCTGCATGATAACAGCGCTACATCTCACAGATTTTTGGTTGGTTGTGTTCTATTCCACATCCGTGGACAACTACAGACACCCATACCATCAGGTGTTCTTAGCTCTGCACAATAGTTTCTGTATTAAAAAAAAATAATAATAATAAAACAACAAACAAAACCAAACCAAAAAGCTTTGTTGGCAACTAGTATGCCTGCGCATAAAGAGCATGACTCAGAGATCACTGGAATCAATGAAAGCTTTTCCTGACTTACACAAGCCTTGAGACTACACATAGGAAAAAAGTTATTTAGTTATGTTCCTCGTTTCCACAGAAACAGGAGAGTATAAATATACTCCTCAGCAAGAATTTTAATGAGGCAAATCTTGCTTCAAAAACATTGCCGCTGAAGGCCTGGGAAGCCTATTTTCCTGTCTTCCTTCTCAGGGCATAGAGGTGGGTGACACTTATTTAAATATTTTGTAGCAATGAACTGTCTGGCACAGTCCTGCGCAGAAGCACTTTAACATAAAAGGAAACAATTTCATGTAGTGATCTGAATTACGTAAGAGCTAAAAGCTCTCACAAAAAAATTCCAATATCAATTCTTTAAGTCAGTATCACTTCTTTACGCATCTTTCTCATCAAATTATATGTTTCTAAACATGGTGCACATCACACAAAATGAATTGAAACTGCTTCAGAATTCATACAAATAAGTTACAAACTATCCTTTCTGAAACAGCATCAGTATGAGACCTTTATGCTTTTATCTATCCTTCTGGTTCTCAGGAATAAAAAACTAGAATAAAGAAGTTCTTATTTACAAGTGTCCACTGGCATTTGGCAAATAAAATTAAATTCATATGTATTTTCTAATTAATTGCTTTGTAATATAATAAGTCCATTCCATAGTCTACTTTTTTTTAGACTGACATTTCCCAACAATATGCCTTAGAAAATCTGATTTATCCCAAAGCTAATCAGAGTGTTATGCTGTAGGACAATCTTCAGGTAACTGCCAATTTTGATGAGCATTTTGCTTGTGAACTGTGTGATTACCCTCAGTAGCAAAAAAAAATTTAAATCTCAAATTAAATTCAACTTCCATTCCATTGAATCTCAGCTTCATTAAGGTTGGAAAAGACCACTGAGATTATCTAGTCTAACCATCAAACCATTTCCACCATGCACACTGAGCCACGTCCCTCAGTGCCACATCTACACAGTTCTTGAACACCACCAGGGACAGTGACTCCACCACCTTTCTGGGCAGCCTGTGCCAATGTTTCTGAGAATAAATTTTTCCTAACATCCAACCTGAACCTCCCCTGGCACAGCTTGAGGCTATTCCCTCTCATCTTTGTTACTTGGGAGAAGAGGCCAACCCCCACCTCAGCACAGCTCCTTTCAGGCAGTTGTAGAGAGCTACAAGGTCTCCCCTGAGCCTCTCCAGATCAAACAACCCATATCCCTCAGCCACTCCCCATAAGGCTTGTGCTCCAGATCCCTCACTAGCTGTGTCGCCCTTCTCTGGACACACTGGGGACTCAATATCTTTCCTATGGTAAGAAGCCCAAAACCAAATACAGTGCTCAAAGTGCAACAAGTATTTCTGGCTTTAATCCTTGAAAAACCTAAGGAAAATTTTTGATTGTTTTGACCAGATAAATAAACATAGATATTAATTATATTGGTACACAAATGTGTTTAAAAAAACTCACAGTGAAAGAAGCAGCTATTTCTTAAGTTCATGTTCAGCATGTTCAAGCAGCCCAGGAGAAATTTCTTGGTGAGTCTCCACAAAGCTGATCGAATGTACACAAATAAGAATACAAGAACACATGGCAAGATCTGAAAGACTTCCTTTGAGACAGAAAAGAGAAAACGGAGAAATCCTACTGAACTACCTTCGGAGGAACACTGCTGGCTTTGTTGTCCAACCAAGTGGGCACACAAGGGGCTAAGCACAGCTCTTCCCTTAAAGTAACAAAAGCCTGGGTTCTGCTTTGGTACGAAATAAGACAGCTGAGCACCAAGCAAAATCCGTGTTTTGTAAATGCAAACCTTCTCCCGGTAGTTTTTGGAAGGGTACCAAGCAAAAGACACAAAGTCAGTGCAGCGAGGAACATACATCTCTGCCGTAGCACTCTCTCGCACATTACGACAGGCACTGACCATGGCAGAGACCACCGGGAGAAGGCAGCGGCCGCAGCTCAGCCCAGGCGCAGCAGCGGTCAGGGTGTGAACGCCGAGCCGCCGCTGCGGGAACATGAGAGCGTTCCCAGCGGGGTGCCAGCGATACCGCGCAACTCGGTGTCCGTTTTATAGGATAAATTCACTTGCGCCATGGAACAACGAGCACATTCCTTCACTTCTGCGTCATTCATTCATTCCCACAGCGCTCAAGCGCCTTTCTGAGGTGCTCGCTTCCTCCCGCCACACAAGGGCGCGGAGCAACGTGACGGTGCTTCCCCACGGGCCCGCACCGCGCCAAGGCAGCCCGGCATCGCGGCGGGGGCCGGAGCGGCTCTATGGACACCTCGAGCTCCATTAATCAATACGTTCTGTCAAAGCCACAGCACGGAGCAGGGCTCGGAGCGGGGGCAGGGCCGGGAGCGAAGCAGGGGACCGGCCGGGCCGAGCGCAGAGCGGGCGGGAAGGAAGGAAGGGGCGGCGGGGAAGCGGGAGGGGTCCCGAGCGGCCGGGCCGTGCCGGGCGCCGCTTGCATTTACCACAACGCCGCGGCCTCCGCCTCCCCGCGCCGCCGCACCACTCCCGCCGTGCCCGGCCATCTTCCTCCGAGCCCGCCCGAGGGGCTGCGGCGGGGCGGAGTCGAGCAGGGCCGGGCCGTCCGGTGCCCCCGGCCCCCGGCGGGAGGTGGGCGGCAGAGGGAACGGCTGGGAGCCGGGCTGAGGGGCGAGCCCCGGTGTAGGCCGCGGAACTGGGGGTGTGCGTCCCGATCAGCGGCTTTCGGAGAGGAAGTACCGTGATGCACGCGTTAAAATGTGTGCCTTTCCGAGTGAGGAAACGGCGGCGCGTGCAGAGCTTTGTCTATAAAAGGCGGTTGGAGATGGAAGGCGCCTGGAACTGTCTGAAGCTTGAGAAGGGCAGCGCTGCCGGCAGGCTGGGCAGGAGCGAGGCACCGTGCTGGAGATGTGGGTGCAGCCCGATAAGGGGCCCGGGCCGAAGGAGCGAGGTGGTAAGATTAAAGCGGTGTGGCTTAAACGGACGGTTTAACAGGTTTGCACTTACACTCTAGAGAAGGAGAAAAACGAACAAAAAAAAACCCTGTCAGGGATTTTACTTTCCATTTTTGCTGACTTCTGAGCTGATGCTCTCCCCCAGCACTGCAATGGTGTTGGAGTAAGCAGCATCTTCAGGAGTTGGACTCGATGATCATTACAGGCCCCTTCCTATTCGGGATATTCCATGATTCTCACTGCCTTCAGCCCACTGCAGCCTTTTCCATGCTGTGTGTTTTCATTAGACGGGAAGCAGAACAGGAGCCACCCTCCTGCCTTCCCTCCTCTGCTTCTCTAAAATTGTATAATGCTGTCCTTTCACAGTCTTACAGATGCGAAAGATCTTGCATCCTTGAGGTTGCTCTGAGCATTGCACACCTTTAAGTTTCTTTTTGCATCCCATCATGTGGGGAAAATCCTAACAGTCCCTCCACCCATTGCAGGTCGATACAGTTTTTTTTTTGTTTGGTTGGTTGGTTTGGGTTTTTTTGAAAGTATTTTATATTCCTAAAAGTGAGATTTGGTTATATTTTTACAGAATTTATCTGTTAAATATAGAGCCCATAGAATTGTGCCACTCCTACACTAGAAACTATTAAAGGAAGAAAAAGTTGGTTTTAGGGACCTGGGCATAAAGAAATATGTTTACCTGAGCAGCTATTACAGACCAAGCAGGAAGACATTTTAGTTTGCACACTGCTTTCTGTAATATAGTCCAAAAGATTCAGAGGCCCCAAGTCATAACAGATGGACCCTGACAACTGGATGCATCAAGCAAACCAGGAGCCTGGTATCCAACGTGGGTTGCTTTTTAGGTGCATATTACTTCACTCCCACTTGCATTAGAAGTGATAGGACAATTAATAGTTTAGGAATCTGGTGTTAAGAATATTTTAATGAGTTAATCTACATTTACAGTCTGGATAAGTACTACAATAAAAGACCTTGTTACAGATGCTTCGGCTCTTACGTGAAGTCAAACCTGTGTGTTTCTTAGTGGGTTAAGAATCTACTCTTAACTATTGCTACAACTGACAACGTGTGTCCAAGAACAGAGATTCGTGTTTACAAAGTGACACAGGCCAACTCCAGAATGTGTCCGTCTTGGAAGTGATCCCTACACACCAACACTGAAGTATCCTGCAAAAAGGTGGTCCACAGTGCATTAAAATAAATTTCAAAAAAGTTAGTGAATTTGATAAAGAGCATATAAAGATGTGCACAAGCCCACATACATAGATTAAATAAAGTTATTTTCATAAAATATATAGGAGATCTTCATAATGGGCAAAATCCCTAAATACTTCTGTATTTTGATTGCATATCAACATTTCATAGATCTATTCAGAAATAAAGTCTAATTTTTCATCTAAACTTTGTGCCCACAAGCACTTTTCAAGATCTGAAGATTCTTCTTGTTTGGAGGTGGGCAAGAATCCCTTTGCCATCAAGCAAATGCAATCTGATTTAGTTTATATCACATTACAGACAAAGCTGCTGTTGAATAAAGATCACAGTCCTAGGATGTATCATTTTGAAGCTAGTTAGATTGCACTTGGGATTACAAATTATTTTTGCCTTTGCTGAATTCCTACTGGTTACTTCTACCACTTGGACTAGTTGGGCTACTATGGCAGAGTTTTCTGTCTTTTATTAAACCATGTTCTTAATCTGTCCACAGGAATACAAAAGATTGTTCTGACTGTATTACAGACAGAACCCCACAGACAGAAGTTTAAAAATTTGGAAAAGATTATGAACAAGATACCAGAAAATGAATTCCTCTGGCATTGTGTAGAAAAACATAAGCAGGAAACATTTGTTCTTCCCTTCAAGGTTGGATGACTGCATTTTGTCAAGTCTTCTGGTACACTTCTCTTCCAAGAGTTTTACTCTTGGGATCACTTCATAAGTGTAATGAAGTGTCACGTCTTGCTAATAACAATAAATAAGAATATGGAAATGAAAAACTAGATAAAATTAGCTGGGTCACAGTTGGGAAGGGTAGTGCTGCTATCAACAGCTGCCAATACAATCCACCAAGCTGCTCTTTCAGCACGTATCTTGATCTGTTAGCAAGAAATGTAATACAGGTTTTTTAGTCTTGTTGCAAATGTGACAAATTCATGGTTCTGTAAACCCATAGAATTAATAGTAGAATTAATAAGGTTCTTTGTGCATGACAGCAATTAATCTGCTAAGAATGCTGCTATTGAGGTATATATACTTACTGAGTGTTTATATTGTTTTTCTACAGAATTAACTGATGTAGAATGAATTAATTTACAGTAGATTTTCAAATTAGTGCCAAAATACAACTATTTAAAGCATGGTATTAGGGTCTTAACTGCTGAAGAACTTTCCTACTATGTTTTTTTAGCTGTTTGTTTATAAACTAAAAATAGGAGGAAAAGAGTAAACACTTTAAGACATACAACCATGGGAAATGATCAAAGGGGAAAAGAACAAAGAAAATAGGGTAGAACAGTGAACTCATACTAACAAGTAGGTCTGGACACATAGCCAAAAATCATAAAGCAGCAGACGGAAAAAGTGACACCCAAAGAAACAAAACAGAGTTTGGAACATATATACAAATCCCTTGTGAACAGTATTTATATCTTGAGCCTTCACAGAACTAACTTTATAATTTCAGTTACACATCCTTTCCTCTCTTATTCTGTTACTGATGAAGGCAGCACAAGTATCCACCCTTCCACAACATAAAGAAATACTGAAAATAGGAGGCTGGCAAAAACAAGAAAACAGTCCAAGACAAACATTATCACAGGGTTATCTGTTAGCCTTAGAAGCTCCATTATGTATTCCCCTCCCAAGAAGCCACAATAAACATTTGACAACACAATTTAATATGTAAACACCAAAAATAAACAAGAAAAGCATGAAAATCCAGAATATTTCAAGAGTTATAGGTTACCTAGGTAGAAGCTTGCCAATTAGAGGATGAAGATGTCTTATTTCTGGTCCTGCCTGTTGCTGCAGTTGTTATGGGAATAGCAGTACTGTAAACAATCTTGTGAAGCATAAACTGGCATTTGCTATTTATTGTTATAAGTGATCACCACCACCACTGCCACCCCAATTATTTACCTTTTAGGTAAAATGCTCACTGAAGACAACATTAAGTTTAGCAGACACATTACTTCAGGGTATGCTGAAAACAATTCAGAACTACTTTCATATCCAGCTTTAATGTATTCCAGAATTCCGAGTTCTTCTGCATTACCTGAGGCAGTTATTAGTCCACAGGGTGACTGCTGAAGACCTGGAGGGCAGCAAAAACTATTTGCCAGATTGTTAGTAATGTCTGTGAGAATGTGAAGCGGCATTTCAAACTACCCCCTGCATCCAAGTGCCTAGGAAATCACAGCAGCCTACAGCAGCATGGATGCTATACTTCCCTTTATGACTACTGTGCCATAGCAGCTAATGGAGTGGTTCGAATTCAGTAGAATTAACATCTTTGGTAACTGGAAAATTCACCTCTATAGCAGCATCTAAGATCCACAAATGGAACTCAGAGCACTTAGCTATCACAGTTAGCCAGTACTGAGTCTACAAGACTGATGTAGCCTCTGAATAATTTGAATAATTTTTATACCATTAAAATGCTTAAAAGCTGACAGTCAGATGTTAGTCTGTTTTTTAATGACCTTTAAATCTGCGTTAGGTACAGCATGACAGACTTTGATTTGGTCCGTGATAAACATCTTTAATACAAAACTACATTTTTGTTTGTTATTAATCTCACTGTGCCAGACTACAGCAACTAGATCTTCACTCTGTAATTTCCTGGCTCCTGAAGATACTCATCCTGCTCTTCAGGTTCATGTTATTTATACAGAGTTCTTTATAGCTGGAATAAACGCAAACAAAAATTTCCTTTTGTCATTTAATACTAGAATAAACTTTATTTCCTTCATAACATTATGCAAATATTTCCCCTAACCAGCTATTGAGAAGTATTGACGTTTGCATGATAAAAGGTTATTTTCAAGAAAAGCTGTTCACATCATATCCTGTGACAAATTCATCATGCACAGCTATGAGAACTAGTCAGGACATTGTAAATACATAGTGGGTCACACCCAACGTATTGAATTTAACTGTTAGAGTTTGTTCTCCTTTTAAATGAGGTTACTCACATGGCTTTCTCTTTCCCATCTGCCCCTCCTGCCCCCCCCAAGAAACTACAGCAAATTTGAGAAAATCTGCAAAACAGATTTTATAGTGTATTAAACAAGTAAACAAATTTTTTTCCAAAATAGCTCAGTCTTCTTTGATGTAATTTTGTAGACTTCACAGCTTGCTTAGAATAAACAGCGCAGTAACAGTAATACAAGTATACTGAAAAAAAGAATCTGGACCAGCACCTCTCCTGTAGCACAGGCATGCTAAATGTGCATGGCCAGCCAACCACCACTCTTTAGCTGCTCTGAATGACCCACACCCTAAGAGCACTGGAATGCTGCACTGGACCATTTGCTCATTTTATGGTCTGTGTACAAGACAGACCAAAGAGCAAAGTG